TTATTTGTAATATTTTGTGATACTATATCTCGAACTCCACTCCCCCCATTCCCCAGAAAATTCTCTTTTTTCGGGGGGGGGGGGGGGCTTAATAATCACCAACTTCTTCTTTTCCTTTATAGGACGTACGACACCAGCAAAACTTCATGCAACACCAAATCAATCAGCAAAAATAACTACAGTATTCATTAGAATATTTCCGACACAAACTGGTGAACAACCCGAGATGCGTTCAAACGCTCGCTGGTTCGAAATTTCTCATGCTGTACAAAATGGTATTCGTTTTTTTACAAATGATAATCGATCACATACTTATGGTTATTTGGGTGAATGTGAATTAAGTGAATTAGCTTTTATTGATCGTGGCATTAGCTTTATGAGTGATACTTTACATTCCATTTATCATGGCGCTTTCGTACGTATGACATACCTTGTATATTTCGTTTCGAAATATGTTGCTTGTTATTTTCTTTCACTAAAGAAAAAGCTTATGCAGTTATGGACAGAATCACCCAAAACACAACCATGGTCGTTGTCGAAGTTGTTACTATCGATTGATTGTGATCTTTCAAAAATTGTTTATCCTACTACGACAGTACGAGCACCAAGATCCATTATGAAATGCTTAAAGTTGAAAGCTAATGAATGTAGAGTACTATTATTAATTGGATATCCGATTTTCAAGAATTACTTACAATATGTATACTACAAACATTTACAGAAATTAGCATTTGGCATCAGCATTGGAGAATCTTCCAACATTTCAATGGCAATGTTGGATGAAATGAATTTATTATTAGAAAGTTTTGTTGACGAATTTCCTTATCATGAACGTTACGTTGTGCAAACTATTCATTGTGTTAAGCATTTTGCAACGACGACGAAGGACTTCGGTCCTTTGTCAAATTATAGCACCTTCAACTACGAAAGCGTTATTGGTACGGATATGTATAAAATATGCTTATACAGGTATCTTCGAACTTCTTTTATTTATTCTTAGGATGCTTATCTTCATCAATCCATGGTACAAAACACCTTGGTCGTGAATTAGCAATAAACATGGATCTATTTAAAAAATCTTAACATGCATCAACATATCATTCTTCGAACTCTGAACTTGCACCGTTCATAGAATATTTAAAAACTGGAAGAAAATATGCTACCAAACCACGTTTATCGAATAAAACTATTTCGCAAGGAGATTTGGATATATTATATCAAGTAATTTTAAAAGAAACAAGACTAAAATGCATGAAATCAAGTAAGTTATAATTTATCGTCGTCATGATCTAAGTATAGTTTTCAATTATTTTTTTTTATTTAATGATAATTGTCTTCTGAATTAATATTGTTCTTTTCTAGTTACATGCTATGGTTTGGTTCTTTCAACAATAACAAGTTCAAAATCAAAAAAAGTTCACCGATGCTTGCGTAGTTTACAAATATCAGAATATAGTGAAATATGGTATTATAGAAGACATCTTTTATGCTGAACAGCAAGACTTATACTTATTGAAAATACGTTCATTACAAGATACTTATTATGATACAATAACTTTCAATTCTAAAACTTTCGTCAATAAACATATAATATATGGCAATATTTCACATGATGTATTTGATTATACAGATGCTAGAAATGTTATTGAGAAGTGCTGTGTATATGAAAACGACAAAGTATGTTACTTTGCTCGTTTTCCTAACTTATATGAATCGTCATAAAATCTTTTATACTTTCTTCTCTTACTTTTCTTAGTTGATAGGTTTCTTTTTACTATATAATAAATAAAGTATTTGTTTCTGCACTATATTAAAAAACATATCTAAGATCCGTCCACTTTTAGGACGGTGCATTACGTAAGCAGAATATACAGTTCTATCGATAATTTGACAAACTATCACGAAAATATTATTTTTTTTAACAAAAAGAAAACATGGAAAGTTTTTAGTTGCGTTAAGCTTGAACCAAGTTAAATCATTATTGAAAACTTGGATTCTTGGTTTAGGTTTCTCTTGTGTTGTTCTTTCTAACAAATCCAATCTTTTAATCACAGATAAATCACTACTCAATCACTCGCTTTATGACACAAAATTAAAGTGTCAATATCAGAAAAAAATACGATAAACATACTTCAAGACTTGAAGAAAATTAACATTATCATTTATAAATCTTCCTACTAATATTCATATCTGCCCTCTTCGATTACAATATCAATTTTCGCGATTCTCACAATCTTGAAAAGCCGCACTGTCTCATACCGCGATATATTTGCACAACAACGCGTTCTTAATAACCGTATTTCTTTTAAAAAGTAGCTTTGCGGTTTGATTCAATTGAAGCGAGCTTTTTTAAAATTGAGGTGTTAAGTGATCGTTGAGACCGCAGCTTTTCGCTAGTGAACTGCGCTTTATTTTGATTGCGGCGGATCACACCGCGTTTTTGGATAATTTTTTTTTTCGTGGGAAGCACCAAAAATCTACATTTTTCTCTACTTTTTTTGTTCTTTTTTTAAGTTATTATTCCAAAGAAGCCAATCATAGAAAAGAAATTATGCCGAATCAACTCACGTTGATTGTGACGACCT